AGATTTTGCTTCTGAATATGAAATCATATCGATTAATAAAAATATTAGAAATCCAAAGACTCCAATTAAACGATTACGAACACTAAATTTTGCTATTAAGAAACGTTGTAATCGTAATGCTATTATTCGGTATCCATATTTCAATAGAGAAACAGATAGAGAAAATTATTTTGAAAATCTTCTTTCTCTCTATTTACCGATAAGAAGTCGAAGTGAATTGAAAAAACCTTATGAATTGTTTTATGAAATAGGTGAAATATTTGATGCTCGACAACAATGTATAAGAAAAGTAAAAGAAGTTGTCTATGAAAATCGAAAAAAATATGAAGCTCATTGGAAAGAAACAGATGAAGCGGAATCATTATTTAATCAATTATCAGTAGATATGAAAGACAACGAATGGGCTGAAATTGTTGCTAATAAAGAAAAGGATAATACATGGTCAGGAGATATTGAACGAGAAGATAATCCCGATTTTAATATTATTCATAAAAGAAAAAATAAAAATACGTTCATTGACTTGAAGCAAACTTTTGCTACTACAAATGAAATAAGACCCTTCTTAGAATCGATGAACTATGAACAACAAGAAGTATTTTATTATGTTCGAGAATGGTGTACAAAACGTTTACATAATCCTGATGTCGAACCGCTTCGTTTGTTCATTACGGGAGGAGCAGGCACAGGTAAAAGTCATCTTTTGAAATGTCTTCATTACGAAGCAACAAAAATTTTTTCTCGTAAAAAACATTTAGAACCCGATGAGAATATTGACGAGATTCATACATTGATCACAGCTTTTACTGGTGCCGCAGCTGTCAATGTTGGTGGAGTAACTATTCATAGTGCATTCGGGATTGGAACTCAAAATAATACTTTAAGTGATAATTTATCTTGCGATAAATTAAATAGTTATCGTTGTAAGTTAGGTACACTTAAATTATTATTTGTTGATGAGGTTTCTCTTATACAAGCCGGTTTATGGGGTGCTATGCATTCTCGTCTTACTCAAATCATGGGTATACATTCGAATACAGCTATTTTTGGTAATGTTGGTATAGTTGCTATAGGTGATTTTTATCAATGTTCACCAGTAGCAGCTTCAAGTATTTATTCTTCTTTACTTTGGTCTGATCATTTTGAATATGTTGAACTTAAAATCAATGAAAGACAAAAAACAAACATTTTTTTCTCACAAATGCTTAATCGTAT